TTCCCATCCTGGTCATGTTTAAGAAGTCCTTGAAAGCTGGTCTGTTTCCCAGACCTTGGGTTCGGTGGGTGCTGCGTCACGTACAGGACTTCAACTGTTAGTAAGAATGTTTATCCTGGGGCACGTTGTTCTTTTTTCACTTTTACACTGTTTTTATAATTTTAAAGTTGTATGCTGCCCAGAGTCTTAGGGAGTTGGGTGGCCTTCTAAATCTAACTAAAAAAAAGTTAAACCATGGCACACCCGAGAATTTCACTCCTGGGTCAGCACACTCCACTCCCAGCAGCGCTGAAATGGAGCGTCCTGCAAAAGCTGAAATCCTTTTTTCCTCTCCTTTCCTTATTCCCCTCTCTCACAACTCTCGGTCCACATATCGCTGAGCATCGTCCTCCTTTTTCTCCCAAGACTCTCCTCCAAGGCAGAACCTCTCCTCTAATGGGGTGGAAACGACAAAAAGAAGCAAAGAAGAAAAAAAAGACTTACTTGGAAAAATTAAACCTGGGGAAGCGAATGGTGTTCTTGATGTAAACCGTGAAATTCTCAGCATTGGCCAGAAGAGCTGATCTTAAAAGGAAATAAGTACATTGGTTAACTGAATTCTTTCGTCCTTGAGTAGAACCAAACTGTATTTTAGGTACATCTGCCAAAAGGGGGAATCCGGTATGGATCTATCGTTTCCAAGTGACAGTGGAATGAGGGACGCAGGGGTTCAAGCGGAGACTGGGGACCCCTTTCTTAGGGGTCTTTCATTCGAGTTCCTGCCCTGGGGAAGGGGTTGACTAGATGACCTCGAGGGAGCCTCCCAATTCTGGGATTCAAATGCTCAGCTTCTACCCAATTTTTTTTTGTAAAAAATTCAGGGCAACCAACTCTGGTCTGTCTTTCTTCTCCACCGGACACCAAGCTAGTATTTCACACGTCCCGCTGATGTTGTTCCCGATTTTTATACACAGCCCGGTCTTGATCCCTGTAGGAGCAAACAAGATGATGAGAAAAATGTCAGCCAGATGGTAATTTTGTGGCTCGCTGGAATCATTTTCAGGTGGGTTTCGGAAGAGTGATAATGACAGGCATGACTGTGGATGAGGTGAGGTCAAAAAGGTCAAGATGGCAGTCACAACCAAACATGATGCATATAGCAAACAGGTAGGGTTTCAGTCACACAGTTGTAACCCCCATTTTGACTTTTTTGACTCCTCTTCAGATGCCACTATGTAATGGCGGAGGCTATCATGAAAAGAGTACCTTAAAAATTATCCTGCACGGAATCTCTTGGCTGTGTTCATTCATTTTGATGAAGGTGCATTTAAAAAGAGAAGGAAAAATCCCCAACACCTTGGGGTGGGGGTCCATAAAAGTAAAACAAACTCTAGAATGCCCACCCCCAGCATACAAATTCAAAATCAATTCCTTGAAAAGATTTACCAAAAAAAAAAAGAAAAGAGCAGATACCTATACTGGCTGGGGAATTCTGGGAGTTGAACTCCACCCATCTTAAAGTTGGTGAGGTTGGGAAATGCTGCACGAAACACTGAATTTCAGCGGTGCTTAAAAGTTTGTGAACCCTTTTAAATTATCAGCATTTCTGCCGAAATTTGACCTAAAATGTCTTCTGTTCTCCACACAAGTCCTACTAGCAGATGGAGAGAACCCAGTTAAACAAATGAGTCAAAAACATTATGCTTGTTCCTTTATTGGTGGAGGAAAGTGGTCCAAAGCTACAGATTTGTGTGTGGCAAAAGTATACTGAAAATTCAAAAGCGTTCGCAAACTTTTAAGCCCCACTGAATTCCGGAGGGTCTCCAAGCCTTGGCTGTTAATTATCCTTCTACCTTATAATATGAACGTGGGGGACCCTCAAGGGATTGATTTTAAATCGTTACATTATTTAGAGATGTTGCTCGATTTTATTAGACATTTCTTTGGAGTTTTTAATCTCGTTAGAAAGGTTTTATCGTCTCTAATCATCATGAACGTGGCATTGCTTACACTGATGTTTTAATCTTGCACATCTAAGCCGCCATGACTGAATGCAGTGGGTGACACATTAGTTCCATAAAGGGCGACAACAGTAATAACAGCAATTATACCATTGCCGGATATCACTGATTCTCCTGGAGTGCAGTCTTGGTCACGGTAACACAAAGCATCTGGAATGCCTGGGTTCTGGAAGAGAAGGAAAGGACGGAGTCTTCATCCCAAAAACTGAATTCAAGACTGGAAGCCAACCGGCTTTCTTTCAGAAGAATCTTTAAACTGACCGAGATGCAAGAGAGAAGGCGGTCGAAGCATGACGCTCCATGTGGCCTTCTTCCCATGAAAAACCATTAAAGGAACGGGGTTTGTTTAGCCCAGTGTTTCTCAAGCTTGGCCACTGTAAGGTGGGTGGACTTCAACTCCCAGAATCCCCCAGCCTGCATGCTTTAAGATGGGGGGAATCCTGGGAATTGAAGTTCCACGTCTTAAAGCATGTTGGGTGGGGAATTCTGGGAGTTGAAGTCCCACATCTTAGAGTCGCTAAGTTTGAGAAACTCTGCACGAGAGTATCAGAATCTTCTTTAAGATTGCTTGCACACTCACTCCTTTACTTGCACACAGTCCTTACACACATGCTGCCCTTGTCCATTTTAATCCCGTCATACCTCAGCGCAGGTATCTTGCCGCTGGTTGGGGGTGATGATCAAATTGGTCATGATAAAAAAAACACTTTCGCCCTAAGATGGGGGAAAGAATTAGAAAAAGACAGTTTCAGAATTTTGCTAGACAAAGAGGGAGGGAGGGAGGGAGGGAGGGGAGGAAGGAGATTATAGCTCTATTTAAACCATGGGCATAGTTTATGCCTCCACCCCTTTCCTTGA